CACATACGAATAGGGATTTCAAGTTCTGACCCAGGTCCTCTCTCTATGCTGTCTCCCCTGGTACAAAACAACATGGGGATAACACCCCCAGGGGTAGCTGGGTACCTTAGACCCCCAAAACCTGCCCCTGGTCCCACAAGGGTCAAGGCGGTCCCTCAGGTGCCGCTGAGGTAACCCCCAAATCTTTCCCAGTACTGAGGATAGATAACCCAGAGTTTTGAGCCAGACATGGTAGAAATCCTCATTCGTGGTAATCCCCGAACTCCGCCAAATGAACTTGTCTATACAAGTTCACCCGCCATGAACGCGGTGTGTACCCTATACGCCTACGCCTATAATGCTTTCACCCACCGATCCTTCCATGTAACATATCAAGGTCATAAATGCAAATATAAACATATCTATATACACATACAAATAAAGGTTAATTGTTTGAAAATCATGTTATCGAGCTGTGTCATCTGGGAATACCTCTACATCCCTCTGATTGTCTAAAAAGGCTTCGAGACCACCCTGCAAACTATTGAGAAACACAGAATTTCCTAAATCATTTAAATGTGTGCCATCATATCTTAACAGCTCTTTTTGGACAAAAGTAATTGTTATTGGATATCTGATGACCCTACCCCCTTCTGCTTTAAGGAATTGCTTAACTCTGCGGTTTACATCTTTTCGCATAGAATCGACTTTGGATGCAGATTTAGCATTGTGCCAGTATAAACGTGGTAACATATCAGACATGTTTGGAGCCAGTAACTTGCAACGAAGGAAGGAGCATTTGATATTTTCATAAAGTAGTCTTCCAGGCACAATGCCTAGTTCATTAGAACTCAAGTGAACCACCAAATAATTTGGTGGAGGATTAGATTTCAGTTTAGTTTCAAAAAAGGTCTCAGTACTGGGAAAGATTTGGGGGTTACCTCAGCGGCACCTGAGGGACCGCCTTGACCCTTGTGGGACCAGGGGCAGGTTTTGGGGGTCTAAGGTACTCAGCTACCCCTGGGGGTGTTATCCCCATGTTGTTTTGTACCAGGGGAGACAGCATAGAGAGAGGACCTGGGTCAGAACTTGAAATCCCTATTCGTATGTGGCGGTCACTCTTCGGTTATAAGAGGTCTGTTCCCACCACAGTTATTTTTCCTGTGGGGGCGCTATCGCGCCAGGTTAGTAGGGAGGACATCTCGGTAGGCAGGTAGCGATTCCCTGGATTCCGCCGGTTTACTTTCATATATTATGTATAAATAGATTGCGACAAACGCGTGCCACGAAATGTTGATGCTATTTTATTATTAATAAATCGAGTTAATTTGATATGTTGTTTATAGTTTTGTGTCTGGAATTAACTTATTCTTATATCAATCAACATTCTTTAGTAGGAATTGATTTTTAGTTATTTAAAACACAATATCCTATTAAAATGAAAACAAAATTGAACTACCCTTCAAAATAAACAAGATATGTAATAATTTTCAGCCGAAAACTGTCCATCATGTCAGATATTATACGACTCGTTGGAGGCTTATAACTTACTTAACGTTTCCTATCATATTAGGACAACATTTTCGAACCTGAAATATCCACCATGAATTAAATACAATGAAACTGATTCAAAGTAGTTTAGAGTAGAAAAGGATTTTCCAGGAGAATTTTTTTGAAATAAAATTAGTTGAGCAGTAATCAATTAATGAAGAATGCTTTAAGATCTATGGAGGCAAACATATTTAAAAAAAATAATAATATCTTAAGAATATCAAAAGTGGTATAGCAGAAAGGATTGATTTTTATTGATGAAAAGCAGGGGGGTTGGTTAACTCTTCAAGGATTGGTCAAGGTTCAAAAATAGGACGCATTCCATTCTTAAATATTGGTAATAAAACATGAAGATCACGTCTACATATAATGAGTATTCAGCCAATATGTATCTGTTGTGCATTCAGATTCATTGAATCTTACGCAATTATGGATCAGATACCTTAAATTATTTCACTAATGTCGAACATTTCCATTGTTAAAGCCGCTTGGTCCGATTCAAATCGCTAAAAATATATATTCGATTTTCTTCTTGAGAAATAATTGTCCATAAATTGTTTCAACTTTTGGCAAATTATATCCCCAAAGTCCTTTTCTTTTAAAAGATATCAAAATTCAAAAGTTAAAAAAATAATTTTTGTTGGGTCACACAAAAAATAATCCTATGTTGATCATTGTTGATATTGCGTGAAGTCACCTTCGAAAAATTAAATTTATCGCTTACATGTTTATCTCATGAAGAACGAACCCGAGCATTTTTTTCACAACAAAGTACATATATATAACCTGCACATATAATTATATAGCTCTTTTCAAAAAACAATCATTTAAAATATTTCATCTTCCTTTATTCTTTAAATATGCATATTAATATAAAAATTACTATATAGATTATATTCAATTAAATTCTAAATTTTGAAAAGATGTATTATGACTAAGGCTTCTTATAATAGAGAAAAAAATACTCGGGTTTGAATTATCTTCATTATTAGATATATCCGATAAACTTTTTTTTTTTCAAAATTGACTTCACAACAGATCTAAACTTCCGTCAGGAACTACTGTTTGTCAATAAGGTTTATGATCTGCGTTTTCCATGTAAGGATTGTTGTAATAAACTATTAAATCAATCTTATACTTTCTTTTTATACATTATCTATGTAATGAAGTACTTTTATTGTGCAAGATAATTTGTGCCTGTTTCGGGTTAAGCGGCTTTAACTTATTGTACCCCCACAGGTCTCGCTCTGTTTCAATGAATACCTGGCACTGTTCATCAAGTTAGGCCGGCTAGAGTACTTTTTAACTAGCAGGAATCATTGGGCCTTGTTTTATTACGTTGAAAAATATGAACATTAACTTAAGTCTTATTTATCCGCATTGCGAGATTTTTAAATGCTACGCACGCGTGAAGGTTAGGTCTATTAAATTCTTGACAATTTATTCATTTACAACGCAACAACCACATGCACGTTGACAACGTACATTTTTAAACAAAGACTTCTTCAGATTAAACCGGTCACGGTAGCCTAGTAGTAGACCGTTCGAATCGTGATCGGGAGGCCCGGGTTCGATTCTCGTTCGCGGCGCCGCGTCATACCTAAGACTTAAACAAAGGTAGTGACTGTTCCTTCGCCAAGCACTCGGCACTAGAAGTGAAAGTCACGGGTCTTTCGGATATGACCTTAAAAAACGTAGGTCCCGTGTCACGGTAGGCGCTGGCACGATAAAAAACCCTCACTGCTCAATGGCCCTGAGTGCCGAGTATAGGTTTAAAAGTGAAGCCCTTCACCGGCATACGGTGACGTCTCCATATGAGTGAAAAATTCTCAAGAGGGACGTTAAACAATATACAATCAATCGATCAATCTTCAGATTAAGATGTTTTGACGATGCCATTCATCGAGAACACCAAAATGCTTTAAACTTTTTTACTGTAAAATCCGGATATATATATTCTTATGTTTCGGAATTCGCAAGTACAGTTTCTCATTTACAGATAATTTTTGTAAAGCAATCGGATTTGAAAAAATATTTCTCCAACCATTCTTTAAGCATTTTCTATAAAATTTGGAGATTATTTCTTATTTTTTTTAATGAATTAGTTTCTCTTTAAAATTTGTGCGCATGTTTCGAACTCGGGGGAATTTACTCCAGCAACTCCTTAAATCAACAACAGACACTCGCTCAAACAACGCCGAAGTAGATGGACAAATGGTCATTAATCAACGAACGAAAGTACAGAATCCTTTGGAATTTTGTGTAAAAGGCGAAAAAATTGAATATTTAAAAAGGCAAAAAAACCAATGTTGTGTGTTAGTAAATGCATCCTTCTAATTCTTCTTTTGTGTCCCGTCGATTCTATGTATCTTCCGTGGATCAATCATTGTGAAATGAATCTATGTATTTCAGAATTGAACGGTGAATTTATGAAATTTTTGATCGGAGCCACGGATTTTCTACCATAATGATTGATTGATTTTATACTGTTTAACGTCCCTCTGCAGAGTATTTCACTGATATGGAGACGTCACCATTGTCGGTGAAGGGCTGCAAATTTAGGCCTATGCTCGGCACTCAGGGCCTTTGATCAGGGAGGGATCTTTATCGTGCCACACCCGCTGAGACACGGGGCCTCGGTTTATATGGTCTTATCCGAAGGACCGCCCCATTTAGTCGCCTTTTACGACAAGCAAGGGGGTACTGAGGACCTATTCTAACCCGGATCCCCACGGGACTCTGCCATAATGAATGTGAGACATAATGAATGTGAGACATTCAATTAATTTTCTGTGGATTATTTGTGTAGGATCTTTTGTGAAATATTTAGATTTTCTCACATTGTTCATATTTTTTGATTTTTCATTGCCTTTTAAGTGCTGTTTATTAATTTGCCTGGCCCTTTGTTCTCATGTGAATGTTAACTGTACCTGTCCAATAAGTGGAATCGTATTGGAGATCTACAGGTAAGGTTAAACAAAAGATCACGTCAAAAATTTTATTTTAAATATCCTTATTGTTCTCTTGTCATTCGACATATTTAAAAGTTGAGCGTTGCAATGTCTTTGTAAACTGTCGTACATGTGTAAATCAGACTAGGGAAACTATTTGAAGAGTTTTTATCTTTCATTTGTATATCTTACTACAAAACGCCCGGCTCGGTCGCAGATTTGAATTTGGTGTATCTAGCTTCTTCTGATAAATTTGATTAAATGGTGTCGAAATTCAATAAAGAAACAAGACGAATGGTTTCATATTGCATACTTTATACAAATCGATTATGTTTAAATTTGCAGTCGTCCACCGACAATTAGTGACATCTCAATATGATTGCTATAATTGTTGTAAAAATTGAAGCAACTTAGAGAAAATTAAAATACACTGGTTAGATGTTTTCATTTAATTATGTGCATGCATTTGAAACTGATATTAGGTACAGAAGTAAATAAATATCAAAGAAAAATACTTACCACATTCTCCAAATAAGACGGTTAATATGTAGAATCTTTCCTAAACCTCCTTTTTATGGTGTTTGTAATAATAAAATGAAACATCGCTATGGTAAAATTCTTTATGTTGGTGAAGTCAAGCCACTTCAGTAGCAATTATTTTTAAGTATTTATGTATAAGGTGAAATATACTTTTCCTGATTATCTCAGCAGGAAGACTTAAAGCTCTTCCTTAAATTCATCTTGCTGTGCTTGTAGTTACTCACATATAAACTGTAAAATGACAAAGTTGTTTTTTTTTTTGGAAAAAAACAAGTTCCTGCACCGTAAGAATATATTTGATGTCACATAACCACATCTTGATTACTGAGTGCACACTAAATATATACCTTTTTAAAATTTAATTAACATATAATTTTGCTTCTGTACGAATGTTGTTCAATTAATTTGTAAACGATGGCGATATATTTAGATTGCACAATATACGTTTCAATATTCTATCAATTGTATCATTAGAAAAATTACCTTTGGTAATTGCAAAAAAAAAAAAAAAAAAAAAATTCAAATAGTAATACATGTATATACGATAGGCAATAATTCGTTCATGGCATTAGATATTTGCAATTTAGGTTTGTTTGTTGACAAAAGGCTGTCATTTTGTCAGATAGTGAAGTCGTTGAAACACTTGGTTTTACAGAAGCAGAATAAACGAAATATTTAAGGAATAACTGTCAGATTTTTCGAATTCATGAAGTGATAAATGGATTGGCTTGTGTGATAATTTGCATAAACGCCGAATGCATAAAATTATCACACAAGCCAATCCATTGATCATCTTCATGAATTCGAAAAATCTGACAGTTATTCCTTATATTTACATGCTTTGATTCCGCCAATCCACGGGCTCCAAGCCTGCTTCTCTCTAGGTGTTGTCCCGCCCTGCACGTGGTTTTTTTTTTGAACCGCGCCAAAACATTCATGAGGAAATAAATTACATTTACAATTGGTAATTTTATCTAGGACAAAGACATTGGAAATGTAAATATTGATATTGAAATATAACAAATAAAGCAACGAGCTGTTATCAATATTTTATTCTAGCTAGAGAAAACACTTCAAGAATCAAACCTAGTATTCAGATGATTGACATGGCCGGAGACACCTACAGTGCAGGCAACGGGGTTTATGCATTTACCGCGCAACCCCGCGGTGTGAATCTCATCACGGTTAATACAGGTGTCTCAGGTAAATACCGCGCTCCCCCGCGGCTAAGCAATCTAGGTTAATCACACCGTCGCGGTTCATCTTGTCGATCTTAGGAGAAAAACAGTCTTGGTTTAAAACGCGAGTTATCTATCTTTGAAATTATAAACTAAAACAAAGTTAAACGAAAACAAAACAGAAGGGGAAAAAATTAAAATATTACAGTAATGAAATAAAAATATAGAAGCTAATATATTAGAATAATTTAAGGACAAAATGAAAATTAATTATTTTCCAATAGATATACTCTTATGTATCTATATGATTTAATAATTGTCATTGCAGTTTTCAAATAGCGTAAAGTGAGTCTTGAACTACTTTGAATGTGTTCATTCTATTTGAAGCCAAAACGTCCAATATAAATTACTGCAGGTGATATATTTACACGACAGTGCAAGGTAATACAACTAATGTGCTTTCCATGTGCTATACATGATATTCGATCTTAATTTATATTTTCGCACTGTGTTTTGTAAATTTTAAATATTATAGTAAATGTTTTAGTGGATTTGATCAAAGAAATGAGCTATCGCAGTTTCAGATTTATTGGGGCTATAAAATTAATGAAGTTTATTTTAAACATTAATCTTCTAATACAGGATTAAAATAAGCAGGAAATGTCTTTTTGTAATCATCGTTCTCCGAGTCATGTTTCCCTAGTGACAGCTTACAAGTGGCAAGAATAATTTCAATATGGAAGTTGAAAAAAAAACGTTTGAAAATTACTCTGTCATGTTGGCTTCATTTGCGACGCAGCAGTTAATGACGATGAAAGTTTAAAAATGAGACATAATAGTCAGTTAATTGCTCATTTTTAATTTTTCAATCGAGTATATGAAGAAACAGAATGTGTAACATGTGAAACACTAATGCCCCTGTATGACACCTTTTGAAGAAGGATAAAGATTCTCAAATGCGAGTCAAACTCCAAGGGATGAAAAAGATAGTTATCCAAAGGATATGGCCTTAATATGATATACTTGTGAAGTATGAAAGTCCAAACATTAACCAATAAAAAATTATGGCCAAGGTTACATGAAATGTTGGTTAACCTGCAAGGCTAAGGTCAAAGGAATGATTTAGAAATACCCATGCGAAGGTCTTGTCATGAGAATTACACATGTGAACTACTAAAGCGCTATTATAAACTGTTCAAAAGTTAAGGTTTATGTTAAGGTTTTTCAAAACTTGGTCAAACTCAAAGATCAAGGTCAAAATTGTCCGTAACCAACTGATTATGAAGGCCTTGTCACAGAGAATATACCTGTGTAATATGAAGACCATAAAACTAACTGTTCAAGAGCTTTGTCCAATTTCTTTCCAAAGTGGGTCAAACTCAACGGACAAGGTCAAAACTAGTAATATCACTGGAAAGATCTTAAGATTTCTGAGGTTGAAGCAAAGGTAAATGTCGGGGAAATTCTTGTAAAATTGGGTCAAACTCCAAAGTCATGAAGTCAAATGTGTTGGCACATTATCAAACGAAAGGCCTTATTAAAAGGAAAACACGTGAGAAAAGAGAGTAATGGCTTCAACAAACCAAAAAATATGAGCAATGTTTGTATTTTTAAGAAATTAAACTGTATTCTTTGAATTCGCCCTGTTTTAAATTCGCCCAGAGGAGGAAAGGCGAAAGGGGCAATGATAAAAGGGGGCGAATATTTCCCTTTATACAGTAAATAAAGAGATAAACAGAAAAACGGACGAACATAGCAAAAACTGTTTTTTTCTCGAATCTTCCATTATAGTGACATAAAACATTAACATTTAATGTCTATGTGCTATTAAAACTCAAGATAAAAGCAGGTATTGCTCTGTATAAGAAAGTAATTTTAAGACGTCAGTTTTGTATAAATCTCGAAGGTTTTTACTTTGAAAAGGAGTAAAAAAAAAATGACGTCAATTTTGATGTTGTTGAAAGTGACTTAACCTTGGTGCATATCGATGCTTTGCATCATAAAATTGTTTGCCTCTTTTGATGTATTTCTTTAAATTTTGCATATTTTATTGATTTTGTTTTGCATGAAAAAAATTTACACAATAAGACTAATAATAGAGTAAACATGTATATATCTACATGCATCTAGATGACATTTGAAAGATGTTACATGTATTATAACTAGTTTTTAAAGGTTTGGATAATACGAGGGGCGTTCAATAAATAATGTCATTAGCTCGATGACATACAACATAGTAGTCTTATGACATAAAGCTTGACTTTCTCTCATTATTGAATCTTTAATAAATTTATAACAGTTTATGTGACCACTTTTCATCACATAGTTTTATCGTGAGAAGCTAGGAAACAAGGGCTATTCGAGACACTGCATTATAAATGAATGGTAAAGAATCAGTAAACTAAAGTGAAAATAAAAGCTACATTAACGCTGCTGTAAAACTTGTAATAAATCCCAAAGAAATATTCACTGAAATATGTGATATTTACAGCAACCGATGCCTGTTTTATAGACAAATTAGCAGGTGGATTTCAATGATAAAAAAATTATATAATGGGCATCAAAAATGGGTACCCTCCTTGCCAACAAAAATTATAAAACTTATGTACTGTTTGCCAAATTTCAACAAATAATATTTGATCTTGTATGAATGACTTTAAGACACATAGCAAATTTGATAGACAACATATCGGGAGTAGTTTACACTGTTTTTAAGAAACGTTTGACAGTAATTAAGCTTGGTACTCTAAGGTCACCCTGTATTTTGAAAAATGAGTGAAAACGACAGCGTGTACCAAAGTCTTAACAATTATTTTAAAATATCAGTAATTGTAGTAATCCACGTTTTTATTATATTCAAACAGATATTAAAACATGAATCTATTGCTTAAAACCATTAAAACAAAATTTAACATAAGTTGTACTTGATAAAAACGGCGAAGGTCTGTCAAGAGAAAAGGTCTGCAAGAGCACAAAAACAAATTATTATACAATTTTCTTAAATATGAGTGGTATTACTGTTCAAATTCGTATTCGGGGAGACAGTTTAATATCTGGAGGTGTCTACAAAGCAGTTTTTTGCAAAGAAATCGAAAGGTTTATCAGAGAAAAGACCCAGAATCAGGAATCCACTACATTGAATTTCTTCATGACAGCGTTCAAACCCGCATGCCCTAAAGAGTAAAGGGGTTTACGGGATAAACAGAAAGTTAATGTTTTTACACATGAACAATATTTGCCAGATCTTTGACCTTTTGACTTGTTTCTATTTCCAAACTTGAAAAAACACTTTTCAGAAGGAAAAAACAAGTCCAGGAAATCATTGGATCTGCCATTTTCCAGTATACTAAGGGACATACCCAAAAATGAGTTCTAAAACCAATCAGAAATTGGATAAAAAATGTTACGGACATGTGTTTGAATTAAAAGAGATTAATAAGTAAAATCATGAAGACTAAATCATTGAAAAGCGTCGTTTGCTTCTTTCTGAGCCCCAATGACATTATTTATTGAACGCCCCTCGTATATCTTAGCTATGTACATTTAAATGAATGTCTAACCTTATCGATTTGCATATTTTCCCCCGTAATCGAAGATGGGTGAGAATATAGTTTTTTCCATGTCCATCTGTCGGCAAAAGCTTTGACATTGCCCATATTTTTTTAATTGGTGGAACAATGACTTTCATATTTCACACGTATATTTTTAGTGAAAAAGACCTATTTTGAGTACAGACATATTTGACCTCCTGATCTTGACTTTGCAGTTTGAACCATTTTTTTCGAAAAACTACCAAACATTAATCTTTCCCATAACGTTTGATTAGTTGGTGCTAAAGCTTTCATACTTGAAATGTGTATTTGATGGCAAAAACTCTTTACATGGGTAAAAATAATTTTTGTCTTGACCCAAGAATAAAATTTACTTTGAAAAACTTGACCATAACAGTTAGTGCTATGACTTTTATATTTAATTGTGTATTTCTTAAGGCTAAGTCTTTTTATCCTGAAACCATTAATCTTGACCATTTGCCTTTAACTTGGAAGTCCACCTACTTTTTCAAAACCTTTATCCTTGGCCATACCTTTTGAGTGGTTGGGACTTGGGCTTTCATAAGATGCCATACATGGAATAAGTGTTTCACAAACAAATCTTGTTCTTCTTTTTTATCCCCCGTAATGAAAAATTAGGGGGAATATACTTTTTAAACCTTCTGTCCGTGTTTTTTTTTTTGTCAGCACGAACTAAAACATAGCTCAAATCTTTTGGTTAGGTGAGTTTATGGCTTTCACGTTCTAAATGTGTGTTTCTTTTTACAAGTTCTCTTTTTAGATACTACAAAATTTGACATCTTGACCTTGACCCTCATAGTTTGACCACCTTTGCAAAAAAACAAACAAAACAAAAAGAAAAAGAAGAAAAAAAAAAAAAAAAAAGCAACAAAAATCAAAAAGAAAAAAAACCCCAAAAGACAGTAATCCATTACTTATTAGTATTTATTCTGACAAAACTTTTCAAAAGGTATGTGCATTTCTCAAAACCCTCTAGTGGCTTGTCGTTGATCAGTACTGGATTAATGTTAGTGGTGTTGACTATTAAAACATATGTCTTTTTGGTATTCACCTTCAATCCTATTTTGTTAGATGTTTTAATAAGGAGCTCTGCCTTCTGCAGAATATCTTTGTGTCTGTTTGAAAGGAGGCCGAGGTCATCAGCATAAACAAGGTCCTCTAGGATTGAGGTCAGTGTCCATTGTAATCCCTGTCGTTTGCCTTGTATGGTGTTCTTCATAACCCAGTCAATTGCAAATGAGAATAGCACAGGTGCAACAAAAAATCCTTACAATATTACTTCCTAACCTTATCTCGAAACCACAAAATCGGGACATGTTTGCTGAAACACCTTCTACATTATGGTTTTGACACTGCAACTTTGACATTAAAGTTTGAACTACTATTAAAAAATTAATATATTTCTTTAATCTTGGTCAAAACTTTTGGAAGCGAAAAAGTAGCCTAGGGGCTTTCATATTATACATGTGTATAACCTGTTACAAGACCTTTTTCAATATCCTAATAGGATATTATTTTGTATCCCGTGATCTTCAATTTTTTACCTACTTTTCAACAACTCTAATCTTAAACATAACTTTTGAATAAAAAAGTAGGACTTTCATATTTTACATATGTATTACCTCAAATACACGGTAATTTTTGTCCTTGTGACTTTGAAGTTTGACTTGCTTATCAAAAATGTAATCTTTCCTTATTTCATTTGATCGAGTAGAGATAGGGATTCCATGTTTGACATAAATATCGCTTGAAACAAAATGTTTCCGTGCATGATTTTATTTTTAACCCATTGATCTTGACCTTCATGTTTAACCTTATTTTCAAACCTTTTATGTTTCTTATTGCAAGACATATGATAGGGCTTATACTTATTTAACACAATATGTCTTTAATAGTGGCATTCAATGTACTATAAGACACCGAAAGCGGGGGACCACATTTTTTTGCTTGTTTATTTAATCCTGTTTGCCAGTGTTCAACTGTATAACAACGAAAAGTGTGAAGAGAGCATCAGCTTTCGAATTAAAATTTTCATTTTATATAAATAGCAACATCAAAAAATGTTTTCTTAAAAAAAAAAAAAAACTGGTAATGGGTGCTACATACATGAAAGATCGTGTGATTTTTTAAATTTATTTTTATCTTTTCTATAAAAGCACATGTAGCAAAAATTAATTTTGTCCTCAATTAAATTTAAATGTTCAATGATGATATAAAGCATGTGTGTCCATTGGAACAGTCTCGTTTTAGCCACTTGATTTGTCCAGATCCCGTCCCACCACATCAATCCCCACTAATCTGCGGAAAATATTCCGATTATAGTTGTTTGATGCTTTCAGTTTGTGGTTTGACTTCTGTGAAATTTATTTTTACTGCATTTCAATTTAATTTATGGTTTAATGAAACATGTCAAATAAGCAGCATACCTATTTGTTTACTATCTTGAGAATTACCCTGATTTTTAAAAAAAACAGAAACGAGCTGCCTTCAGTTAGTAAAAATTATCAGTATAATCCAGATCATTTTGGCCCCATTCCCTTCTCAAAAGTGTAACAAGCTGTGCCTATATGCAGAGACATATCTTGGTATATATGTTGCTAAGTGGGAATGATGTTGTTTGACTTTGCCTACCCAACACATATGATTTTCACATTTTTATGAATTATTACATTAAATCAATTTTTTTATTTTGTAATATCCCTCGATGATTTTGTAATGATTAAGTATGAAGCCTCCCACAATCAATCTTTAAGAAAAATTCTTGAATCAACCGTTTTTCATAAACAATCTGTACAGTATTCATAAATAAAGGTACAGTATTCATAAATAAAGTATGTTAGAAAAGATTGATTATAAATTTCCTCAACACTGAACAGGATCACGTTAAATATTTCATCCAAATAGTTTGCTTATTGTTTTAAGAATGTCGTACTTATCTCATCAAGCCGCGATCCGGGAAAATGCTGGAATCTGAGAATGTTAGCGGAATGATAATCAGCGCCTGTTCTGTTATAACATGTATCATGACCTAACTGTACTTTGTAAAATGTAAAAATCCTTACTTGTTTGCAAAATTTTCAGTCTTTAAATTTCTTATAAACATAATATTGAGAAGCGTTTAATTTCAAATAGTTTTAATCCAGATTTTGAATTGTAAGAACAAGCCCTGTAAACTTATTTCCATAACGTTAATGCTATAATTTATCTTGTACGCATAACATTATCTACGTCTTCTCTAAACACAACCGACAAAGAAATCTGCATTCTGCTTTTAAGGTTTCCTGCTGCTTGAGACAGGGAGAAAAGTGCACGTCAGAGGTAGGCATAATTTCCTGTACGATTACATGTATATATAAATGAAATATGCCAGAAAGTTAAACTCACGTTGCTCGAGCGTTTCAGAAGTAAAAAAGTCAGCTGATTGCATTTTTTTTAATTATGCACAGAACATATAATTGAATAAAACATGCACACATACATTATAAGCATTACAACTAACCTGCAAAGAAGGCAATATTCCGTTTAATATATATATAAAATTTTAAGCATTAAGTTTTATTTTTGAAAATATGAGAAAGAATGCTGTGACATTTTTTATGTATTCCGTTGGATATTCTGGTGTAGTGATCAATGTTCAAAACTGTTTTACATGTTTCTTTTTTTTTTAATATAAGAGTACGTCAGTATTAAGAGCACTGTAATGATTGCACATCATTGGAATACAATGAACTTTTTATTTCAAGAATCATTAACCATGTTAACAGGCACAAGTTTTTTAAGCACAGTAATATAGCAAACTAGTGATTTGTTTACGATGAACTGCCCTATTTTAGGAACATCTCGCCGCCATACGTTTTCCTTCCTGATAGGAAGAAACACACTAAGATGGCAGTCACACTAGGATTTTGACATCCATTTTGTTTACAAAGGTCAGTGAAGATTTTCTAATCATTTAAATATTTATTACTAGAAAATGTATATTTTTCTCGTAAAAAAATGAATGTATAAACACTTACATGTAGACTTAAATATGTGTATTCTCAATTGACATTTTTCTGGAATATTTTTTTCTTTAAAAGATGAAGTCACAATCCCTGGCAATAAAGACTACGCTGTTTTGCATGGTGTCTATAAGTTTGACAGGTGATTTCTTTGTACAATCTTTGGTTACATAGAATATTTTTAAAGAAATTCATAATAGTCATAATTTAAAATAACTAAAAGTATATGACGATGATTAACATGTTCCAACGAGGCTATGTGGCAGGAAATTGTTAGAGTCGCAAAGCGATTTCATGATTAAAATTGTTTACCTTCACCCCTTCCTTTCGGTACATAAAGGACCAGTCAAGAAAATTAATACCAGGGTAAGAACATTAAAAAGGTTAATGGACAAGTAGTTTTGGGGCATTCAATAGGATGGGACAAGCATTTCTTTCATTTGTACGAGTGAATAAACACTTCAAAGCTATAAAGATGTACTCTTAAGTATGCTTGCTCATCTTACATTTGTTATGCTATAAAGAACAAATGCAGAAATAAATAATTTCTTGAATTCATAGTTAATGAGGCATATCTCGTATCAATTTGATGTTGCGTAAATCTAATGTACGTATTACGTCAGATTATAAAGCAAAGTGTTTATGACATGACGTTACCCTCAAAATGGAAATTCACAAAAAATAATCACAATGGAGAATGATCAGTTCTCGCTCTAATTAATGCAAGACATCGTTTCCTCATAAATACAATGTACTTCCGAATTAAGGGTTTACCTATCTGCCGCCTCATCTACTGCATCTTTCTAGATCCTTGAAACTCCGTGGAGGGGTGAAGCTTGTATTAGACATTTCTTTTTAAAATCCTATTGTGTCCAATGAAAGTCATATCCGACGGTTTGGCAGGCCAGGGCATCACACAGATATCTTTTGGTCAACACTAAAACAGCCTTGGGTAAATTAAATTAAAATTTTGATTTAATTAAAGCAATTGTAAAGAAACTATAATAGTCGCAAAAAGTAGTTGATTACACAAATTACGTGCCACAAAGAACTGATTTATTGTTTTCAAGCTTTGTGATGGTACATTGATTTTCGTAGTTGATATTTGATTTTTTTATTGGATAATTGTTTAGAAGTCACATTGCTTATAATAATTTCAAAAAATCATACCATTTTATCATGTAATTTTTAGAAAAATATCTTTTAAATGAAAATTTGTTTATCGTATGTAAAGTGATATATAACCCTGACTTAAATTATCAAACCAGGGGCTCCTCTTTTCTAACAATATAAAGCTGACATTATATACAAATCTGTATTCTGCCTCCGACCACGTGTCCGTATGACTGGAAATATAAAGATAATTTGAAATTGAGAACGTATGCCAGATTTGCAAAATTTCATCGAAAATTAAAACAGAATTGTTAAACTGAGAGAGTACACAAATATCAAATGATTTACTTTTACACGACGCTGGATATTTCCAATGAAAAATCATCTACTAACAATTTCAGAATATCTATAATTTTTCCAAATCAGTACTTCATGTATCTAAAATTTTGTAACATTTTTTTTTCACTGTATAAATATATTCGATAATTAAGATTATATTTATTAATGTTTGAAAATGCAGAGGTGGCTCTCATATTCCTGGAACATTAAAATGAAAAATGGATCATATAGTCCTCATTTAACTCAATTAGGTTGCATGTTATCCAAAATCAAAATTTAATGTCACAAACATATATTTTTGAAAAAAAAATCTTTAACTGAATGGTTTCTACACCTTACAAGTGGAAATTATCTATACTTTACCTCCCTCTCTGACACTTATTAAAGTTGTCATTTTAATTTAACTTTTCACACAAGATGAGGATGATCTACTGTGGATTTATACTTTTTATCATTCTGTAAGAAAAGAGACCAAAACTTACATATATTTTTTGTACCCGTCCAACTCTGGTGAAAAATATTGCCTTGTCATGAAATTCAAAATATACATAAATAATACTATGTCAACTATGGTGCAAATAAATGGTTAATTATTGTGAGAAGATAGATGAAAAAAAAAAATGAAAATCTCGTATTTTGTTGCATCGAGATATAATTTGTTACTCGAATCCGGAATACCGACGTTTTTAAAAAGAAATATTTAAGTAGGTAAAATTTCAAAAATGTAGTGCTTTCTTTCGATATCCAAATACAAACAAGTGCAAATAAAAAATAAAATTTTAAAGGATATGAATGTGTAAGTTTTGAATAAATGAGTTTCTTCGTTTAACAATGACTGTCTAAATTAACATATTTTCAGATGCAAGTTGGATGTGGTTTTGTGAAACAGATGGTAAGTAGGCTGCAAGTGGAATATTCATGTATCATATGATACTTGTACAATTGTACATTCAATATTATATTTTTTCATTTTCTATTTTTATGCACTTTTAAAATTTCAACTCAAATGGAGATTCTCAAAAGAGGTTTTAATAAAAATTTCTAGAATGGTTTCAAGATTTTATCACTAATTGTACGTTTATATTTTAAGAATGTGTTCCATTTTTTCGCGTGATAAAATGCAGACAATGTACTTAATGGATTCCTATTACAAATCTAAAATTAATAAATTAGTGTTAAATATGTTAATATGTTTTACCTTGATAATGTTTCCATTGTAGATCCCTGTCATGCTGCAAACACGACAGCACCTTACCAACCAGAACTACGAGCCAAAAACTGTCCTTTTAATAACAATCCCTATTGTGATCGCTTCATAACTCCAGGCTGGTACAGATTTAAGAATGACATGTTGAATCACCCCCCAGGCTTGTTTAGTTGTGGAGCAGTGTACCCTTCTTGGCTTAATGGTAACTTAAAAATATCACGAATGACAACATTTCTTTATTTGGCTTTCTTTTTTCATTGCTTTTCTTTTCTTAAGTTGGCAAATCTAATATGTGCTTCAATTCTGCATTTTCACGATCATTTTTTCCACTGAATGTATTTAAGCATTAATTTAACCTAAGATCATAATATTTAGCAAGAAAACACTGAATATCATAAAGTATTTATAGACATTATTATTATATAATATATACATACACATGTATATACAGATCCTGAGACGTGTTACTACCCCAAAAAACTTTCGTGTAACTTTCGTGCGCTTTCCGTTTCGTGCAAACCGTGTAGCGTTTCGTGTAAGCCGTGCAGCGTTTCGTGCAAACCGTGTAGCGTTTCGATTAAACCGTGCAGCGTTTCGTGTAAGCTCCAAAGCGTTTCGTGCAAACAGTGTAGCGAGCGTGCAAGAAGCTTGTGAGAAACGTGCGACTTTCGTGTAAGAATCGTGTGAGAAATGTGTGACTTTCGTGCAAGTATCGTGAAAGATTCATTCGGAAGTCATTTCATTTAAAATCTGGCAATAGATGGGTCAGGATGTCAAATTGTATTAGTATATTATTATTGAATTAGTTATGATTGTGATATTTTTGGAGCAAAAAAAAAAAAAAAATGGATCAACAAAACGAAATTACACGGTAATGTATAATATATATTTGTTTGTTTTCTTTTCCTTCTAAAGAAAATATGTTCAAATTAATCAACTTTGTACAACAGTTTGAAGGGCATTGAATTCAATATACTATCAAGGCGATCATGGCTTATTAAATATTGTTTCTCAAAGAAATAAAGAAGTACCGGTATAATTTTTTTTAATTTGAAGCAAAAAATATATATGGACTCCGCTCTTGTCTTTACACTTAAAGAACGTGAAAAAAAGTTTTGAAACGATGTGTCATTTAATACCTTTTAATACATAAAATTTGTTGCTCATTATTGTAAAAAATGTATTATAATTTTAATTCACATGCCATGACGGTAGTAGCACGTCTCAGGGTCTGTATATAAAGTACTAGAATTGACAAACGATACGAACAATAAAATTTGTTCTCTTTACCATGTATAATAATGCTATTTTGAGAAAATGAAATAGTGCACGATTTGTCGTCATTGAAAAGCTTAATTAATTCCTTCGATTATTTAAATCCCACTTCACCAGAGTACACCCGACAGACCGGACGTATTTCATAGCGGTCTGGATTTCTCTCTTTACTATTGTTAATTAACTTTAGAATTCAACATGAAACATTGTAAATAAAAGTGTTTGGTAGTTTAGTACTATTGGTACATGTAGTTGTTTTTAGTTTCTCTTTTTTTTCCCTATGTTCCTATGACTTTATAACTTCTTTCTTTGTCCTGAGGAAGGGACAGTGCGTCCCGAATATTTGACAATTTTTATTCTTCGTGTCGTCGGTCATTTCTTATGCTTTATGATAATATTAAATTTCAAACCTTGAAATCTTCACCACTGTATATATACCAATGTTTATATTCAATTATCCTTGATTAAATGAGAGATATTCAGATAGTTTTTATTTAATGTAATAATTTAGGAACTCTTCCAACTAGGCAGAACGAAGAAGTGGAAAGAAGCGTTTGCAAAGTTGGTTTTAATAACACATGTCTTAAAAGAGTCACCATCAGAATAAAGCACTGTTGTTCATTCAATGCGTACTGTCTTCCCTCTTTAGGTGCCTGCTCCGAAAGATATTGCTTTGGTAAATATTTAGAATTTCGCTTTTCTAAAATTTATCTCGGAAGTCCGTAGAAGAAAAAGAATAATCTGATAACCTTGTTAATGCAGATAAAGCTTACTTACATATTACTGCTTAAAGTGAAATGTTTATTTATCAGTAATAATAATAATAATGATAATAATATTCTTCATATGTATATAATATATAAAATCAGTGGTGTATGTAAATTTCATGATATCTATCCTTGATTTTAATTCTGTTTCTTGATTAATATTTTAAATCAGTATTTTAGCATAGACTGACTTTTAAGACTTACCTGATACATGTAAATACATTTTTCAAGGTGAAGAAGATTCTTCTTGTGAGCAGATCATTCCATTCTGGATGGTAACTGAAAATGAAAGAAAATTAAGTACTACTCCACCGAGAAAACCATCATCCGGAGAGAACAACAAACTTTTATCTGAGTTTTGTTCATCAGGTTAGTAATGAGGTTCGGAAAACTAAATGCAGTTCATAACTTTATAAAGTATGAAGGCTAAAATAAAAGTAGGCTACATTAACTCCCAAAGGAAGTGTATTGTGATTAGTGCTGAAGCAACAGGTATACAAAATTAAAGTAGCACAATTCGATGTTGTATCTTAAAATGATTTTTAACCGTTAATTGCTAGTTCATATATGTTGGTAACTTAAAGGCATTGGTTCGCATTATTTTCAAAAAATACAATTGACTTACATGTAATTTCATTTTTTTCTAAATTATACAGATCCGTGTAAAACTAACAACCTGCCAAAATTTCCATATGCAGAGAATAGAGGAGTAAATTGCACATATAAACACTTGATGCAACCATGTGACCGGACTTTACTCCCAGGGTGGTATAAGGCAGATGTTGGAGAATCAAAACTCCTGAACAAATGTCCAGGTGTTCTTTCTTGCGGTGCAATATACCCTGTTTGGATGGAAGGTAAAAGATATGCTTCCTTAACGAGAGACATATTTGTTGGAAACATCATTGCTGATTAAATTAATGTCAGTTCGTTTGCGAAGAAACCTTTGCTAAAGATACAAGGGAAAGAAAATTATTTGAATTCAATATTATGTTATATTTTTTCTGAAACATAAAAACCTTCGTACGACTGCTTTATAGTTGATCCCGAAGGTACAGGATGGTAATGGCATGAAAATATGAGTTGCAAGAGTTACATGAGTTGCATGATATGGAATGCAACTTCCTGATACTAGTTCATGTACTTGCATTTTTTTCTTACAGCTCTATTTTCCTGTGAATAAAAACAGTCATTTAATTGCCAAGAAATCAAAGTATGAAAATGAAAGAAATAAAGTAAAGTGCCAAAGGTAGAGTTATAGTAAAATCAATGGTGAAATAATGTTAAGCTTTCAATTTCAGGAATACATCCTCGTGTAAATGAAGGTATTGTGAAAAGAAAAATTTGCATTGCTGGGCCTGAATTAGGATTCTCTAAGTCCTGCTGCCAGGAAAATGATTACATATATGTGAGAAACTGTGGACGTCACATTGCGTATTGCCTGAAACCTTTGAATAAATGTGAAGAACGATATTGCCTTGGTATTTTATACTTTTTCTGAACTTATATCTAAAAATAATGAATAAAATTTAATGTAAATTCACACAATAAACCTGTGTCTTGTTTATTTTTAATTAAACTTTTATCTTGTTTTGCATTTTAGATAACAATGCACCATGTACTGATCATGCTACAGGTGATAAGTCTAATGAGTCTTTCTTACTATATGGTAAGTACATGTACCTTTACTTTAAAAATTACAGTTCATGAACCAAGCTTAAACCCAATTAAATTGTGTGATATGCGCTTCTTGATTCTTGCGATTAATATTAAATTTTGTGCTAATCTTGGCCATGTGCCTTTTCGAGGAAAAAAAACGTGAAGCATCCTTGCTGGTTAACTTTGTAGCAAACAATTTGCATGAAGAGTGTGGTATATATTTAGTGTTTGGCTCTGGAATAAATGCAACAATTTCCCCTTTTAACATAGAGTCATCAGAAAATATTCAAAATGAATAGAAGAAATATAGAATATATGTTGTTTCTTTTATTTAGTTGAGGGACGTCTAGCATAAAATTTCCTCTACAGCATCTTTTAAAATTATTTTTTAGACAGCCAATCTCAGCTATCTGTTATCGTCACTGCCCTGGTAATGATAACACTTCTAGTGAGTGCATCAGCACTCATAATCGTTGCTTTCAAGAAAAGGTTTGTATGAGACGTTTTGATAGATTTATTTCAGAAATTTTGAAATATTAATAAATTTACAAAACAACAAATCATGTACAGTCATTTGTCTGAACATTTTAACGTTGATTATGAATCATGTCCATTTTTAATTGAATCAGATTTCTTTCTCGGAGATATTGATTGCTCTATTGATATTATTTTTAAAAATACTTCTGAGTTGGAGAGATTTTTATATTATTTAATAACAAGTAATGAAAATGCTTGAAACGTATGGACATTTTAGCGACAATGATTTATTACTGATTATTAGCATATTTGTTTTAGATACCTCTGAAAAGGTACATTTAAAAAAGCGATTAGAAACTTGTGTTTATCTTACAATTCAGTTTATAAATACAAATTAAAACACATTGTGGCCTCGATCTAGATCCCACATCTACTATATAAATCTACGCTTAAGTAGCACACAATAAAAGCAAACTTCAACATTTCTGATTACTTGACTATACTCAATGTGCAGTGCGCAACAATTCTTACACATTCAAACTGTTGAAATGTTTCGATATTCAAAAAAGTGAATGTCTACACTGTCTACGAACGTTTTGGACATGGGATCATCAGTTTCTCACTACAAAGCAGGACACTTATTTATATCGCGAATGGGATCTTCATCGGCAAATCGCGAGAATAATTATTCGCGAATGGACTCTTGATTAAGAGATTTTACATTGATTTCAGCACTATAAAAATAAAGGCGAGTAATTTTATTTCGCGTGTGGTGCTTCTTGCGAAATTACGCGATAATTAATTCCGCGCTTAGATTTTGGAATTTACAGTACACTTAAGACTGCTCATTATGTTGTCTAGTATAGGCATTTACTGTATGAAGAAATATAATTAATGATGTGTCTTCACGGTACATGTATTTGCAAAATGCGGCAATTATTTATTTCGTCAACTTAAACGCTCTTTCGCTATATAATAATGCACTTAAGGGTGGTTTTCGCTTGACGATCATCATATAATATTGATATCATTTTTTATTATCATGAGCTTTTCAATTCAATGGGGATTGTACTAATATATATGTATGTATGGGATTCGGCCAAAGCGACTTTACGTACATTTGATTGTCACATGATATGGTTAAAATTAGAAAAAAATATGTACGGATACAAAGAACGTAAAATTTCAACGATATACGGATTATTTTTCACTATGAAATTGATTGTGTTTCTTTAATTCTGTTACTCGAAAAGTGTTGGGAGCAGCTTCCCCATTCCCGGGAATTGTACAAAATTTAGCCGTCTTTTGAAAAAAATCGGGCATTTACGCTATAGACATTGAAATAATGTAAAATTATGGAAAAAACCAACAGCTAACAACTTGCTCCCAGAACTTTTTAAATACATTGTACATGTAGTAGGGACAACAGCGGATATCATTGACCTTTAGTGTGATTTTTGAGGGGTTGTTCCTGTGATTGTACATTTATGTATAAAAGTGCGTGACCGCGGCTTTATGAGACCTCTTTGGTATCAATTTAATAAGACTGTGAAATATTGAATAATGCATTCAAAACTTTCGCTCAATTGTAGTCAGATCACGCTTATTTAGTTTTAATTTTCATATTTACAAGTTCAATAATAGCTTGATCTGCAAATAAAGTACAGAGAAACTGTGAAATCACAGTATGTAAGAGTGTATGGAAAAGAAAATTATTATTTATTCGCCGAGATCCATCTGTAAATTTTCACCGTGACGTCATAATCGATTTCTCGAAGCTCTGCAATAGCTTTTGGAGTCCTTAACTTAGCTGTGTTATTTTCAAAACAGTTTCCTTTATCTCAGTATTATGATGATTATATAATAATTGACATAGCAACAATTTTTGTTTTGAAATATGTCTTTAACTGTACTAGAATCAGAAGGTATACTTATTTCAAAAACTTATCATTTTAGCAATTTTTATTTGATAAATGTGTTTTTGTTGCAAAGTAGAGGTTATCAGTAGAATTCTTACACTTGTGTCAATTCAATAATCTTCTTAATATAACAATTGTTCTTTATAAGAGGTACATATAATATCTTCCAGGAAATAAGGATTTAGATTTAACTTCATCGGATTTTTATGGATAACTTAATTATGTTTTTGGTTTACATTATATAGTTTAATTAAGATTCAAATCTTAATGTCTAACTTATTTATTTTGATAATCTGTAAATTACATAAAATCAAGCACGTAGAAACCGTAAGGATTTTACAAGAATGAAGAATAAAGATGGTGGTACCCCACTCCCCCCCCCAAATTTAATTGCTCAATTTATATAGATATAGAAAATAGAAAAATACTTTTTTATGTTACATAACATGTAACATGAGTGATCATAATTGTCATCAGATGTTAACGTTTTCACAGTTCTTCCCCAACCCCACCTTTCCCCCAAGTTGCATTAACAAAAACTTTAGCATGAAGTTATATATATCTGCCTGAAATACACAAAAGGTGTGTTTTAATTTGAAACAAAACAAAACAATATTCCATTTTTATATTTTTCTTATGATTGTTTAATATGCAATTGTTTTTAATTTTTTTCAATTATCTTTCTCCTTTGCAAAATAAGTGAAATTTTGAGAAAGACATAAAAATGAACCGCTGGAAATTACATTGCATGGTTGAATAAGGTGCCTAGGAGCAAAATAGGCATCAGCATACAGGTAGCAACAGGATTAGCAATTAAAAACAGCATTGCCTGCACCATCATTATCAAATAAAGATAAAAGTAGCATAACTACGCTTTGAACTATTCAAAATCCTAGTAGCATCAGAAAATCTATTTCTAGCAGAAAATGGAGAACAGACAAAGAAAACTGGTTTATTCAAGATATCAATGCAATGTTTGGTGAAATATAATGTACACTATGATTATATAAAACGATTTTATTGCTTTAAACTGCAATGTTTAAATCATCCAAGTTTGTTAGCATGATGCTTCTTCAGGTAGCAATGTCTTTACTTTAAAACAGGAAAGGTAACTTCAGGATAAGGATTACTTAATCGGCAAAGAAAGAAAGAATTCAAATCAACACAAAAAGCATTAAGAAAGAATTCAGATCAACAAACAAAGGTTTTTTTTTTATAAATAAAAAAAATCAGCATGAATATGTTGGAGCAAAAATTTTTTCCCTGCACTATGAAACTACAATGTACGTGTAGCTTGGTCTGAAAAAATTGTAAGCACATTTGCAGTTAAATCTCAGTTTTTGTTTCAGTTTTATCTTGGAAATGTTACCACACGAATAAAAGTAGGACAATATAAGTCCATACTACTTTAGACAATATACCCTGTGAACATGAAAAACTGTTAAAGAGAAGGGGTAATAATCAACAAGAAATTGTATAAACTGCTATATGTGTTTTATTGATTGAGAATTGACACTTTTATTGCTGTTAAAATAATTTCTTTTAGACAAAATGTCCGACGGCCTTGGCAGAAAGAGGATATTTATATTCAATCAAAGAAACTGGTTAATTTAATTGACAACTACGAGTCACCGGAAAATCGATACACATATTTGAAGATTCCAGAGCATGTTGTCTCCAAAGAAGAGAGGCAATCTGATTTCAACGTCTACTGTATGATAAATGATGTGCAGTAACTATAATTAACTTCAAATTATGAAGACGGTATGTTAAAAGAATTTGAAGGTTCTAACTTACAGTTAAAGGGAGCCGGCTAGAGATTAATTGTGTGAAAACTGTATTGGAGAAGATTGTAATTACTTACGTTAACTTCAGTGTACATGCAATGTTTAGTGATAACTTGTATATACAATCTGGGTAGTTTTAGGGTACAGTTACTTAAGGATTTTATGGGAAATAACTTTTTTGCACTTTGAAGAAAATAAGAACAAATCTACAATAGACGTTTTTGCTTAACTTATAAGATGTAATGAGTAATTACCGTATTTAATATATTATACAAGAAAGACAGAAATCAATCGTCTGTTTTACACAGGAGGTATCTCAAAATGTCAATTTTGAGGAAATTTACCTTTCTTACGAAATTGTACAAAATGACAGAAACTAAAGATTTTTAATGAAAAAAAAAACTCACGTTCATTAAATTTCAAGAGCATATATACATATTTAATTTTATTACTTTTTAATGTTCCACTCTTAATTAGAGAACTTAAGTTAATTATTACGGTACGAACTCACTGTTACATTGTCTATCTAAATGTACCTATCAGTTGAAATGTTTTTTTTTTGGAAAAAAAAATCCAGAGATACCTGTAATTCACAGGCACTTGTTAAAATAATATGTTAACTATGCAATGTTATAATAACACAATGTATCCAACTACGAATAACATGGGGTACGCCCTTCACAGAAACATACTCGTTTACATTTCATTGAAAAACTGTTTATTACATGTACCATTGTATTTTACTATAATATATCTTTACAACCATATATAACATTCTTGCCTTTATTTTATTTCATCTCTAAATTACACCATTAAATGGTATGTGCTGATCCTGGTCAGAGATTTTGATTGGCTAAAGAATCTGTTTATTAATTTTTATCATAAAAAATTTCATACTCAAAGTCGTAAACAAATTTCATTTTTTCAATAAAGTATTTAAACACTGAAATAATTTTTTTTTACATGTAAACCAACTCATTTTTGTTTTAAATTTTGCTCTCCGCCCGGGAATGGCACATGTCATTTCATGGTGTAATTTTTTGCCACTTGACGAGTTTCGATACTCTTTACAACGATAAAAGAAATAATGAGCAACGGAAATAAAAGGTAATAAACAATTTGTACAGCTTTCCCTCTGAAAGTGAAAATGTGAGCGTTTCCTAAGGATAGGGGCACTCTGTTGATTCGGAGTTGAATATCTTTTGTTATTATAAAATGTTTTACAGAAATTAGTGTTCTTGTCGTGATTGTACATTATGATTGATTGATTGATTGTACATTGCTTAACGCCCTTTTTGAAAATTTTTCACTCTTATGGGGACGTCACCGTATGCCGGTGAAGGGCTTCAAATTTAGACCTATACTCGGCACTCAGGGCCATTAAGCAGTGAGGGTTCTTTATCGTGCCAGCGCCTACCGTGACACGGGACGTAAGTCTTTAAGGTCATATCCGAAAGACCCGTGACTTTCACTTCTAGTGCCGAGCGCTTGGCGAAGGAACAGTTACTACTTTTGTTTACGTCTTTGGAATGACGCGGCGCCGCAAACGAGAATCGAACCCGGGCCTCCCGATCACTAAGCGAACGCTCTACCACTAGGCTACCGTGACCGGTTTGTACATTATGTATTCAGCGCAAGAAAAAGAGATACCTTGCCTTTGAATTTCATTAGCAAATATACTGAGCAAAATAAGTTTAGCAATTAGAGATATTTAATTTATAACATGACCAAAAAATTAGACATAATATATTTATAATGAAATTAAAATGTAAGATTTGTATTCACATAAGAAAAATATGCAAATGTTATTGACAGTCTTGTTCTGATTCGTGAGAACTAGCGTGAAACTGATGAGGAAACAGGATGTAAAAGCACATTCAGTATCAATATTTCGTATGGCCTCCATTTGCAGCAATAACAGCAATACAGCGGCGTCTCATGCTCCTTAAAAGGTTTCTAATCTGAAGCATAGTGATTTGGTTACACTCCTACTGCAGGGCAAGGGTCAGTTCCGCAACGTTGTTGACGTTATTTCGCTGTCTTACACGACGACCAAGAATGTCCCAAACATGCTCAATTGGTGACAAATCTTGCGATCTCGCAGGCCAATCTAAGATTTCAACATTATTCTGATAAAGGACATCTTGTGTGTGGCGTGCGGTGTGCGGACGGGCGTTGTCTTGCTGGAAAATGCTTGCATTTCCTCGACGCAGGAAGGGGACAACAAAAGGAACGACGATCTCATCACAATACCTCTGCGAATTCAATGTTCCATTTATGGTCACAAGGTCAGTTTTTCACCGATGGCTTATTCCACCCCACACCATTACACTTCCTCCACCGTAACGGTCACGTTGGATGATGTTTTCGGGGTCACATCTCTCATTTCGACGTCTCCAAACTCGAACTCTTCCATCTGCAAAATCGACGTTAAAACGTGACTCATCCGTAAACAAAACTTCATTCCACTGTCGTTGAATCCAGCGACGATGGGTGTTGGCCCATGCAAGGCGAAATTGCCGATGACGTTGAGTTAAAGGCACAGCTTTTAGGGGTCTGCGAGCTCGAAGATTTGCTGAACGTAGCCTGTTTCTAACACTTTGCCCGCATAATCTCACTCCAGTAGCGCGGCGTAACTCTTCTGCAACTTCAGGAACAGCCATGAAACGGTTACGTCTCGACGTCGTAACAATAAAACGATCTTGTCTGACAGTCGTTTTTCGTGGACGTCCTGAACGCTGTCGATCACTAACATTTCCAGTTGTCCGGAATCGGTTTGAAAGCCGACATATGGTAGACGGATGCACATCAAAATGTTCAGCAACATCTTTTTGTGAGCGGCCAGCGGTTAGCATCCCTATAGCCCCCTGACGTTCATTTTCGGCAAGTCCTGGTCGTTTCTCCATTAGACGTTTTTGCAATTTCTTACCGGTTTTCTTTTACAAGCGTGTTCGAAAGGTTTTTCGAGTAACATTTTTTTTCTCGGACCGTGTGCGTTCGAGCATAACCTATTGTATTGTTAAATTGTCAAAACGTTTAACGACACGAATTCCGCGCGTCAAGTTTAAAAAACAAGTTTGTCTTCTGTTAACTTTATCTCAATAGATTATGAGTAGAAACATAATAAAACAATAGAGAAAAAATATTTTAAAATTATACCAAGGGAAAATCAATTGCAAAACTTATTTTGCTCAGTATATAATAAAAACTGTTTGAATGTTAAGTGAAATTGATACTAGTTGAATGGATTTAAAAGTAATCACTATCAGCATGTAACAACATGGCAATTATTTGTTTTTTATGCAAATATAATTATTGACAATTGCAATTAAAAGAGAAAAACATGTAAAATGTTGTTGTTAATGTCAAGATAAGACGAGTGCAAAAAGAAACATACGAGAAATGATTAAATGATCGCAACTACTTGAACTTCTTCAATAAAAGAAAAAAATAAGGTTTCAGTGTTCATTATTTTTAAAGTAGTTCTTTCCGACTTTAATACACAATTGCCATCGTTCTGCACATCCGCAAATCACGTGATGCGGGCAGTCGCGTGACATGCTCAATAGAGTTCTGTTCATGGAAGCTTAAGGATCTTTCACAGTCTTATACATGTATTTCTTACCCGGCAAATTATTTTTATAACAACACGGCCTAATTTTATCAATTGTCAGATATGATCATATCTCGAAATCGTATGGGTAGATATGGATATCCTGTCCAGGAATGAGCATGTGGACAATCACGATCCGAGTCCACTGTCTTTGCAGTGTCGTTTATCTAATGTGGATTAAGTATAAGTACATTCTTTTTGTCATATCTTATATGTTTGAAGTATAAGGTCAGCGATATTTTATGGATTTAATAATTATGTGATTGTAAAGATTTTCAACTATTTTCTCACTTAAATTTGGTGGTCTATCATAACAAATATCTCAAGTAATGACACATTTCTTCCTGAGCTTGCTTTCACTGGAGTAAAAAACAAATATCCTATTAAAGCGTCTCCTTCCTTCAGTAAAACAATCAATCCAATTAATGATTTAAATTTTGGAAAGTCTTTTGTCTTCATAAACCTTGTACAAATTATTATATTCTGCTGCAAAGGAATTTCCAAGATATACGTCAAACATTTCACTTTGTATCAAAATTACAATAAATATTTCAGTACTTTTTTGCATTATCACTGTTTCATTCCCCTTGCTTAAGTTATTAGTACACCCTTACCATGACAGCTGCATGCGTCACCCTATATAACATGTACATCATAAAATCTTTTTAATGTTTTAAAATGTTAGTTATAATATTTAGTTATTTTCAAAGAATATAAGTAGAAAGAAAGGCGAAAAAGGTTGCAAAAACTATTTTGGAACATATTCTGTTTTATTTTCCCTTAATGTGTCAAAGAAATGAAATCATGTTTATATACATTAGATTATTGAGTCATAGATTAAGAATTATGTGAAGAAATTGATAGGCATTAATATTAGACTGATGAATTCGAGGTCGTGAAATCAATTTCAGGCGTGAGATCTGTAGCAATTTTTTTTAAAGAAAAAGAAGTCTGGCTTTATTCTACTTACGCTACATAAATCCAAAGGACACCATGCGAAAAGAGTAATGATTTACTCTAATATCATGTTGTACAACTAATCTACTTGACAAAGTGGATTTTTTAATATTTTTAATCAAAATGATAGCTTTTATGTAGTTATATTCTACAATCTCCTGTATATGTTTTTTTTAAAAGAAAATTTTAATACATGTAACAGAAGCAGGCAAATGACAAGAAAGTTGATGTACATCTGTTAAATGATTTGGAAAATTTTTATGATTTTTAAAGACTTTGTTTGCAGAAAAAGTTAAACAAAGGTCGTGTTTGGTTTGACATGTTTCCAATTGTAAGGTCATTTCTTTTTATGTGGCAGAGGATAGTTTCGGAATAATTAAGTACCGGTCCAAAAAACCATACTATTGTTACATGTACAGGGAATTCATTTTTTTCCAATTTTTTTTAAAAGCAACTCAATATTAAAGAAAATGTCATCCAAACGTTTTCATTGACAAAATACTGTCATATGCCCTTTGCCATTTTAAGTACGTTACACCCTTTTCAGATTATCAAAAACAGATGACTTACGGTGAGACACAGGGTGTTTCTGTTCGTCCGATATTAACCATATATTGATTGTTTATTGGGAATATTTTCTGTCGAAAGTAAAGCTTCAAAGCTCTTACATGTATATTGTAACATAGAATCGTCCAAATATTCAAACTCCAAACCGCAGTTATTAATCTTTGTTTATATGTTGTTTAAAGTCCTTCTCGGATTTCTTTTATTCATATGGAGACAAAAACCATTCGACGGTAGACGGCCGCAAATTTTAACCTATACTCGGCATCCATGGTCATTAAGCAGTGAAAGATTTATTTCATGCCAACACCTACTGCGACACAAGACCACGGTTTATACAGTCTCATTTGAAGGACTGGTCTTAACGTCCCATATGTGATTTCAACCTGCGACGTAAGAATGAACTACATACACCGTGACTCTAGATCAGACGGTCTATCTACTCCAGCATGCTAGAGGTTAACTGCGAGATACTTTTGACTTGGCGCCGCGTAACCTCTAGCATCAATTGTAAAAATTCTCGCCTCTGAAGCCCCAAGTGGAAATAAATTATCTTTATTAAAAATAAGGCTTTGCATATATACAAATGGCACGAAATAACAAAAAGCTCACTATGTACGATAAAAAAAAAAACAGAAAAAAACTACTGTCAATCTCTCGAATTAGAAAAAAAATTTCATTATTATTAAAATTGAAGCAGAAATTGAAACAAGTCATCTTTTTAAAATTCAGAACTCGAATGCAGAAATTCTGACGAAAGGAAACTACATGTAGTTTTAGGCAACGAAAATATCGTTTTCTGACTAGCAATCCGCAAAATAAATGTGAAGTTAAATCGAAAGTATTTCATCGTTCATGGTAGCTCGTCGGTAGAGCGCTCGCTCTGTGATCGGGAGGTCGTGAGTTTGTATCTCAGCCGCGACTGACCAAGTCGATAAAATAGGTAGCAACTGTACCTTCGCCATGCAGTCGGCAATTTGAAGTGAAAGTTGCGGGTCTTCCGGATGAGACCTTAAAACCGATGTCCCATGTCAGTGGCAGGTGTTCGCACGATAAAGATCTCTCACTGTTCAATGGCCCTGAATGCCGAGTAAAGGTCAAAATTTGAAGTACTTCACCGGCATACGTTGACGTCTGAATATGAGTGAACAGTTTTCGAGAGGGACGTTAAACACTATTATACAATCAATCAATCTAAAGTATTACTTGTAACAAATTGAAATATTGACAATTTTCATTATTGAACAATTCTGCACACTGAATAAAATGGATTTTTTGATATCTTGTGACTTTCATACCCCATGCTAATACGTAGGTACCTGAAAATTACTTGTTGACAGTTTATTTCACGCCCAAATCTCAGGCGGAACAAGCTTGTTAGAAAATGGCTTTCGGATGTAAGAGTCCGAGGTATATAAGGAGCGTAGGGACGTTTACCTAGGCTCTTACTTTTAGGAGTAACATTCTATCCACTGCAAAACACAGGCGAGTTTAAAGCAGTTGTTAATATATTTGAAGCAAAATACCCAGGTCTGTTTCGTTGCTGCGTATGTACAGTGTATGCGTAGGTTTAAGTTCCATCTGACATAAAACATGCACAGGTATGTTAAGGTTACAACCAAACATTCTACTTGCCTATATGATATGACGTCATAGTAAGCTAAGTGACGTGACGTTTAGAGACAACAATTTTTTTAAATCGATATCCAAGATTGATTTGAGATCGTAAAAATGAATCAAAATATGCAGAGGCATAATAAAAACGGAATGTTGACCTTTCTGGGTCTCTGTATTTATCACAGAAGTTCAATACCAAACCTGTGACGACATAACTGTTGATCATGCAGTAGCCGAGTGAAAGTGAAACGTAAGGAGAATTTAAGTAAACAAACACAAGAAAATGAAGCTTAAAAGCATTTAGAATGAACATAAAGTGTGATTCATGTGGGAATAAAGCTTATGAATAAGATATGCTAATATAATTCTACAATTTCTTCACAAAATAAATGCAGACAGGGTGTTTACTTGCCGATCAGCCTTTCCTCTGTCGTTCGCAACAAAAAAGATGCAAATAGTTCAACACTACGCTGCACTCTTTATTTTCTATCTAAAAGTCTTATTCTATTGTTTTTGGAAAGTGTTGCTAGAATCGTATGGTTTACTGGAATTGATCATTTTTTTCGATCTTATGATCAAAATGTAAAAATTTTAGCACGGTTTTGTCCGAAAGTGTTGAATGATTACTAAGTATTTCTGTGATAGGATAGTAGGATTCTAGCAGCACTTTTCGTTGTACAGAGATATTTTTACATAACTATTATTATAAATTGAAATTAATCATCCACGTTGTAGTGTTGAACTTTTCACGTTTTCATTAAGGCATATTTTCTAATTATAGACGTCACGTGGTGACGTCGTCGTGAAGTACTTTCTGTAATACAAGACCCATTGAAATCTACAGAATGCATAATGGTAGCAAAAGTTTTATCCATGACTTTTCCGATTTATAAGTTTTACATATTAGCAAAGGTGTTAATTCGCCGAATTCTGATCCGTGTGCGGCCTTAACAAATCCGTTTGTCAAGTATGTACCTTTCTCAAGCGTTAAAAAGACGTTTTTTACAAAACGAAATCTTAAAATATGCCATCTTTGATTTAAAATTCAAAATGTCATAATACAAATATTAATCCACGTGCTTATCTCATATCCAATATATCTTGGAACTATAAACTGAAGGTTGAAAAATCAAGAACAGGTTTGAGGAAGACCAAAAAAATTGATATGAACATGCATATTGGCCAGAACGGACCGATCGCGATTTCAGGCTTCCGTAGAACGTGTATTGCATGAATGTTAGATAACGCACGACGGATTTCGATATAGTGCTGATAGATGCAGTAGTTAAATTGAGAGAAAAAAATGTGTTGTTGCCCCAGAAACATGCTTGATAATTCCAGATAGGAAAACTATCTGTAAAAAAATGAAGGAATCTTGTGGTTTTTTTTAAAAATGGAATTAAATTAAAATGCTAACCGGGGAATAATACAAATGGTAAGTAAATGTATCATTTCCACAGACTGTTTTGATTTTTAACAAATCTAAACAAAAGCAACTTCATGCGAAGATTAATTTTCAATATTCATGTTATAATTTTTTTTAATTGCTCTTTTTTATTTCTCAAATTTTTCCTCAAAGATGAATAATGCTGGTACATTATTCATAAAAAAAATGAATAACGTGTATAAATTCTTCAGCAAGGGTAGACAACTAATCCCTTCTCTGCTATTTCCTGGGTTCTGAGTCTTGGCCCTGTTCTCGATTTTTTTTGTTAAGGAGATTTATGAGATTATATACTTTTCGTTATTTTTACCATTTCCATTGAAGTACTTAATTATATTCAAAAGGAATACCAAGAAAAGTACACACAGTGCCATTCAGAAAGAAAGAAATTGTTGTTTCTGATATAAGCAGTACATGCAATAGATCAATCAGTATAGCATTAAGATCTTGTAATTTGAGTGGCTCTTATTTCAATTTGAGACTAAATCAGAGAATAATCCGGATTTTTCTCTTGAAAACACATTTTTTTTAAATCAAACAATCTGACACCACTAGTTCATGCGTGTTCTTTCTGTTTAGTTTCTTAAAATTCTTTTCTCAATTATATAAGAATACTTGACTTATCATATTTTAAACATCCGCTTCCTATGTAAGATTAATAACTAAATGTTGGACTAAATTATTTTATTAAAATTTCCAAAAAATATTCATTTTCACTAAAAATATATTAACTAGCTTTGTCATAGATTTCTTGAAATAATGTGATCTGTGTCATACATGAAATACTCAAGGATTGCTTTTTTAAAAAATCATGTTATCTTCAAATTTAACATGTTTTATGTTCACATATTTTTAAGGGGCCTAGACACAGATTCAACTGATTTTTTAAAACCAATTTTTAATGTTTACAATTCCTTCTGAAAGCATCATCTATTAATTAGCAAAAGTCTAAACATGATTTGTTGATCAACAAACAAGAAACAGAACTTGTGGTTTTTCATGATGTAAACAAGGTTTGTGTCTTGTTTTTGTTTACTATAGAAAATACTATATTTATAACAAAATTGAGTGCATCATGTCAATAATAACTGTCGAATCGTATTTAAAATAAACCTTTAATTGAAATTATCTACTTTGAACGAACATATAAGTTTTAGTATATTAACCTGTGTAAACAAAAACGACACTAACCTTGTTTACATTATAAATGTTTGGAGCTCTAACTCTGTCTTGTATCTGGACAACTGGTGTTCAAATTTTTTGATGATCATTAGAAAAACCCTAGTTCAATATTTGTAAAAATGGAAAAAATAGGTTTTGAAATTTTAGCTGAAACTGTTTCCATTCCCCTTTCATATTTTCCCCATTTCTTCATTCGTGATATATCTGCTAAAATAACAATCAAATACAGAAAAAAATTCAAGAAAACAATTTATTACTGCGCAAAACTTTTAAAGATTAGTCATAAAGAGTTCATTTGACCCATTTCCGTCGTTCTCATAAATTAATGTTTGTAAGAGCTTCATGCTATTTATCACACAGGAAGCACATGAAATCTGAGATTAAGCGCCCTAGATGATTTTATCATAATGAATGAAAACTTTTTATTTGCTATAAAGTAGGCTGAGCGCCTAGGGATGCCTAATATATTGAGAAAAATATACATGTAGTTCCTTGATTTTTTAAGTAACATTAAATGAACAAGTTAAAGATATTTAAATGTCATAACAAAATAATGTATAAATAATGTAAGCTTTATTTGCACAAAATGTTACCGTTACGGTTTATTTTCATAACCTATGCACTGTATTAGTTCTGACTTTTTTCAAATGGTTCATAGTCATCAGATGGTTTTGATTATATAAAGCCTGTACTGTATATTATTCAGTTAGTGACAAGTGTACCAGTCAGATTATCATTATTTGTAGCAATTAACACACAATTATTAACACTGAGTAAAAGAATTAGTGATTAATTTTGTAGAAATGTAATGATTTCAGATGAAAGTGTTGAGTAAATATATTAAAAACTATAGATACTATGCACACTGAGCTCACAAAATAATACCTCCGTTTCGATCCAAAATGATTCAATAATGGCAAAGACAAAGTTTTGCTATGGGAGACCCCAAATTAGAGTCAGATCAAAAAGTAAAATAGGTGTACAATGACACTATGTAATAAAGAATCTGCAAAAGTACCATTGAATTTTATTCAGTTGTAAAGGCGGATAACAGATGGGTTAACCCTATAATATTAAAAAAAGAATGGCAGAATACTTGTTTTGCTATGGGAAACATGAATTACGACGTCTGATCAAATAGTTTGCAAACTAATTGAATTCCTTTCATAAAAGAATTAAAACTAGGTTTCAATGTACATTATTTTTAAAGTGTCCTCTCCAGTTTTAATGCACATCTGCCACCATTCTGTCCATGCGCGAATCACGTGATCCAGTCTGCCAGTGACATGTTCCTTCGTGCATTTCGCAGAAGCTAATAAAGATTTTCCCGAGTATTACATGTCTTACTTTGGAAGTAATTTTTCAGAAAAAATGGTCCTTTTGTCAGAAATGGCCATATCTCGGCAATAGCATGGGTGGATATGGATATTTTTTTCCAAAAATGAGCATGGGGACCATTACAATCCGAGTCCTCAGCCTAAAGAGCGTCATTTATCCAATGTGGACTAAGTATTGGCGCCTTCTTTTGTTACATCTTTTGTGTTTAAATTCTGAAGTAACCGATATTTTAATGATTTAATAACTCGTATATTATTGTTATAAAATAATCAACTATTTTGCTAACTTTAAAGATGAACACGATTCGTAAAAGTACTGTTTCCGCCATTTTAGTTCCCGGGTCTCGCTACCCTGCAGACCCCTATGAATAGGGCAAGAACTAGATGCTGTTTAGTTAAATCAGCTGACACTGGTGTGGACGGATGTATACTATACAGGACTTGGTAGCGAGAATAATAAAGTAATACTTCGTCTTATGCATGAAAATAAGATACCAAATAAATTTTAAATTATAGTTGTATAAGTCAGTGCAGTATAGAAACAATATAGATAAACGTAACTGCAATAAAATATAAACAAAGGCAATGCAAGATAACCAGCGCGAACACGGGTCGCCATTCCACGCCGATACCTGTGACAATAAAGCAGTCAGGTGTAACGAATTCTGATTTTTTTTTTTACCGTGTAGGTTAACTGTTGTTCCTTAATTCATGAATAATATTTACAGTGACGGTAATAATTTTCAAGCTTTGTCGCGTTGTAAAATTAACAAACTTCATGAACACATAATTATAAAATTCAGTATCAATAAAAAAAAAATACACGTGAGCTACTTTCATATGCTTCATTGGTCGATCAAATTAAATTTGTTTTATATGTTCGCTAAACATGTGTCTACAAAAACTTTAAGATATTTCTGGAGAGGAAATTGAACGTTTCAATTAGGTCACAGCAGGGTTTCAATGTCTGCAACATTTCATGTTATCTCTACGCTATCATTTTATAGTCGTGGACTGCTCCACAGAAGTGTGATTAATCATGTTCACTTCTTATCTCTTTTTAAAATCCTTAGGGGTATCAAGATCCAAGAAATATTTCAAGAATGTAAACTTGCATGTCTGGACTTAAATCAATTATAAATTTTAGGTGCATCTATTTTCTTTCTGAGCAAGAATTTTCTATAGAAAAAAATAATATATAAATTCAAAATTTTCATTTTGCAATACATTTTACCAACATCGGCATCATAGGTTTTCTACCCTATACTATTGAAAGTAGTATCGGAAACGGATAGAAAACCCGTGGGTTCCGACAATGGCATTTTACAAAACGACTCTTAATTCCAAACTTCTCTTCATACCTCAATTTGCATTCGTATGTAATATTTTTCTAAATATATACACATGGTACTGTAGATGCTGCTATATTTATACCTGTCACTAATTGTCCTGAATTATTTAAAATTTCTAGACAGATCAAGCATTGACAGACCAGAGCGGGGGGCGGGGTTCCATGGCTTTGATTCCCTTCTTTTTTTTTGTGCAGAGAGAAAGAGAGAGAATAACTTTTCTATAATAAAGATATTAATACGTCTAGTCATTTGAAAAATAAAAAAAATTGCTGTCATTTCTGCTCGCTAGATCTGTAGATTATCTCGTATATGCTTTCCGCCGTGTACCTTCACAACCCCGTCTATAAGGGCTCAGAACATCAAAAAGCTGTTTGATTAAAATCAAACCTTCACTAGCTCCTTTTTCTTCACTCGACAAGCAAAATAAAAAGGAGCTCACATCAAAGTGATTATACTTATCAAATTGACAAATAATTTTTATTTTTCTAAACGTGTGCTTCGTCCATACGTTTCGTCAGTAACATGGGTAACAAAGTAAACAAGTTTACCATTCGTTCGTTACGTGTTTGGTGTTCTCTAGTGAACATTTTCGGAATCTCATACACCTGACAGCGTACTACGGACTGCAGACTTTCGAACAAAAGACCGCTTTCAGGGAATGTATAGAAATTCGTTTTCGGTCTTTCTTAAAGCTGCTTAATCCGAAACAGGCACATGTTTTCTTACACAATAAAAGTACGTCATTACATAGAAAAAATAAATAATAAGATTGATTGAATAGTTTATTACAACAATCCTTACAAAGAAAACATAGATCAAAAACCTTACTGACAAACAGAACTTCCTGACGGGAAGTTAAGATCTGTTGTGAAGTCACCTTTGAAAAAAAAATAATTTATTGGTTTTATCCTATTATGAAGATAATTCAATCCCGAGTATTTTTTTCCATTAGTAGAAGTCATAGAAATCATAATATATATTTTAAAAATTAAGGAATTAATTGAATATAATCCATAGATCTACTTTATTTTTATATAAATATGCATATTTAAAGAATTAAGCCCAATTTAAGGAAAATCAGATATTTGTATAAGGAAGTTTGGTAACGAAGGGTAAAATG